CCTTTCTTAAAACTAAGTATAGGAGTGACACTACATATGATAGCTTGTGGGTGTTACTGAAGGAATTAGCACATTTCTGAAATAGTAACTTTTATCATAACCTAAATAATAGGTTGTCTTGGTTTTGAGAATGTCTTTGGTTGGTGTCTAAAGCAGTTGCTAAACCAACCTAAAGTTTTAAAAAGAAAACTTTCTATATTTTAGTCTTGATCAGAAAAGAAACAAATATGTTAAATAAATTAGTCACCAACCCCAGTCTCGAAACCTGTTCTCACCTGCTGATTATAAACTTGATAGCTGAATCATTTACCCAATTCCGTTCTTTGCTATCTCAAAGAAGTCTTGGTAAATAACTAGTAAGAAAATGGTTGGTAGCATAAATTTCTTAAGAATTAGATTATGCAACATTTCTAAAATAAAGATATTTTGAAGAACATATACTTTTACTGAGACAGGGGCTCTTTGATGTGATGTAATGGTTAATAAGCTTGTGTTGGTAGATCAATTACTACTGAGTAGTGAGTTTGATCCTCACTGGGTGCTCCATATTTTTGGCCTTGTGCCACATCTAACCTATGCTTAGTAAATTCACTTCAATGCAGTGTAATGGTTGGCAAGTTTGTCTCGCTAGATCAATTATGACTGAATAGTGAATCTGATCCTGACTGGGTGCGCCTGCTTTTGGCCTTGTGCCACATCTAATCTACACTTAGTTAATTTTCAAACTTTTACTGAGGCACTTTCATACATAGGCACATGAAGCATTTATATTCATTCATGAACAAAAGCTGAGGTAGTTTTACACTTCTGAAAAGAAATGCTGTATTGCTATGCATACTTTACAGTAAAAGAGGAAGAAAATTGCCTGTTACAATAGGCATTTTACTTCAGTATATATTGCAAAATGTGTCTAGGATTTTAGTATAACAAAAAGACGAGGATGAACGTTCATGCTTACTTTATTGTAGAAAAAAAATTGTTTTTCTCGTTTTTTTTTGTTTTTTTTTACCCATGATTATTAAAGAAGAAACTAAGTATAAGTAAAAAAAAAAAAACTATTTGGCTTGTGAGATTACAATTTTTATGCAGTTGTGTTTACTTCAGCCTAATGGATATTGATTGGATTTTATTATTTTTCTTGTTAAATGAGGTTGAAACGATTTGCACAAATGCTACAGTTTGAGTTATTCTTCTGTGTCCATTGATTTTGTTACAAACGTACTCTCTTGTGAGATAGTTGTTATTTTCATTTATCAAAAGTGTACTTTTTTCATAAACATGACTCCTTTTAGTGTTGGTTTGTCAAGGCCTTAATTTTTTTTTTAAAGGGACGATCACATAGTTTCTGTATCAAATACCTGCTCACTAAGAAAGTAATGACAAAAATAATCTGCTTTATATCTCAGGAGAGAGACATTTTTTTATCAATACAATCTAAGGCAGTGGTTCCCAACCTTCTTTTTGGCTATGCCCAATCTAGGCATCTCTAAAATCCTGATGACACCACCCACCTTGTGGCATATAATTCTTATTATTCAAAAAGTCAATTCCTATTCACATGGCGAAAGCCTGAAAGGACATTAACTTGGTCTAAACAAGCTTCCAAAGAACATGGCTTCCATAAAAGGGAAGAAGAATGAAAGGACAGTTGAAGTACTGGGGAAGAATTATTGAGAAATTGTTATATATATATATATATATATATATATATATATATATATATGTGTGGTACTTATGAGAAAGCGCTCAATATCAGAGATAGAGCTAACATATTTGGTCGGATTGATGAAACCCAGGGTCACAAACTCGCATCAATCCAACCAAATATATATATATATATATATATATATATATATATTAAGAAATGGACAAGGTCCGACAATTTATTTATTAAAGACATTTTTATGTTTAACATTGTTATTTATAGATACAAGTATTTAAGCAAATGCTCTGTTTATGATAAACAGTATTAAATAACAATGTTAAACATAAAAATGTCTTTAATAAATAAATTGTCGGACCTTGTCCATTTCTTAATATATGACGTCATTTGTTTACATTTGATACGCCAGAGCAGTTATGAATGTACAAGATTCATGGAAGATTGAAGTTTATAAGCAGTAAATTCGACCTTGTCTACCGAAAGGTTCTTTGTGGCCCAGAGGTTAGGCACATCAGCGTAAATGACGGTTCCGTATAGGATGCAGGTTCGAATCCTGTCAAAGAACGAATATTTTCTATGAAAATTTCTCGGACATTCAGGCCGGTAAATGTTATTTAATACTGTTTATTATAAACAGAGCATTTACTTAAATACTTGTATCTATAAATAACAACGTTAAACATAAAAATGTCTTTAATAAATATAATATATATATATATATATATATATATATATATATATATATATATTATTTTTGGATATTACATAAAACATGTAAGATTCTTACATGTTTTATGTAATATCTAAAATATATATATATATATATATATATATATATATATATATATACATACATAGCTATGCATGTACATATATACATGCAAATATTTTTATGTATGCATACTGTATATGCACCGTAAGTAAGTATAAGTGTGTGTGCAAATACACACTCAGACTTACACAAACTCATTAGAAAAAATCCACTGTTAATAAAATGCCTCCCTTAAAAGTCAAATTACCCCCTGTGGGGCATGCACTCCATGTTGGGAACCATGGAGCATTAGATGACCTGCTGTTTGAACAATGGTCAACAAGCTAGTTAATTAAATCATTATGGAGTTTGATCTTAACTGGGTGTTTTACACTTGTAGACTTGTTCCTCAGACAGTGACATAAAATATAGATATGTCTTGACTGGGATGTGTTGATATTTTTGCTGAAGCCTATGGCAAGAATGGATACAGAATAAATCGACATTAAAAAGTATTCGAGGCATTCATACATATGAGTAAATAAATGTACACACATAGAATTAGTTCTTCAGAATCCTGCACTTCCACTCACATGCGTGAAAGTTATGTATACACACACACACACGCACATGTGTATTAAAATGACAGATAAACTAGATACACTTGCTTTACACAGGTGCACACACATTACAGACATATGTAGAGATTTAGTATTATATACTTCGGTATTTTTATGGTTTATCAACCTTTTGCCGGTTATTTAAAATCAGAAAATATTTTAAGATTGTGTAGGTATACAGAAGGCAATTATCTCTGTTTGGTGGAGATAAGTGACATGGGTCATATGATGGCTGCTTAGTGATGTCACTTTATACAGTGACGTGTGTGGCCAGTCATTAAGTTTGTCTACACCAGCCAAACTGAATGGTTGCTTTTTTAGCTTGGGGGTGATCCCTGGGCAAAGGTGAAATCTGCCTCCTCTCAGCAGCTTACAAGTCTATGGTGCCATTTCTCTTTGGGAATATATCTTCCCCAGATATACAAAGAACCTCCAACTTGCATTCTTCATTTTGGGAAAACCCAAGACTTGCCATTTCCCTTTTGTGGAATATGAGCTCACTTGAGGCATAGTAGATGAATCTGGCCTGTTTGACTCTAAACATGGCTTCTCCAGACAAAGAAAAATTTCCATATTATATGTTTCCTTTTTGTTTCTCCTTACACTCTGCTTTGCTGTCTGGATATATGTGATATATTATTCTCTGTGTGGGACACGTGTGTGTATATATGTATATACCACCTGCACATCCAAACTTACAGTACCTGTTTTTCCTAAATGATCACTCATTTGCTCAGTTGCTTAACTTTAGTGATTGCACAGTGTTTCAACATGATCATGTTGTGGCCACAAATCCATTAGACCAGCTGCATGTCCAGACTTACAGAACCTGGTTTTCCCAGGTGGTCACCCATCTCGGCTCAACATGTCTTAACTTTGGTGATTGTACAAGAACTGGAGTTGAGCTCTGCTAATGATCCCAGAATTAAATTTATTTATATACAAGTGAGAGAGATAAATAGGAAATAGGGGAGAGTGTAGGATTATCAATGTACAGATTTTGTGCATTGGAGAAATTCTAAAACAAAAAAAACAAAAAACTTGTTCGTTTTTTGTTTGCTATTTTCAAAACAATATATCAACTAAGTCAAGCATAGTACTTAATCAAATCTAGTATCTGCTTTCAATATTTATTTCTTACGTTTAAAGAGTTGTACTAATCAGTACAGTTATAGGAAATGATCCCTATTTCTAATACAATTACCTACTCACTTACATACCATATTAAAACATGTTCATATCCAATAACAGACAATATTTAGAAACATGCCAAAAAGATTCCACAATACAACACACACCATTTAAATCAAAGTGTTTATTGGTTAGAAATTAACATCAAAATTTGAAATATTTGCCCAAAGAAAACTTTATTGAGCCTACTTTCAATAAAATATTCTTATAAAAACCTACAGATTTTGACTTTCACCTGCAGTGGTGCAACTGTATCTATTGTAGCATACCTATGGATGATAGGTATGTCCCCATTCACATAAATACAGTAGTAAATACACTATGTTGGTCTGCAGTTGGAGATTCATTGTGGAATTCATGTGACTCCTAGCAGTTGACTACTTGTTCTACGTGCTGTTGGCGAATCTTATATGTATTGTTCTTGTCCTAAGTATTATCATTCCTTACCAACCTTTGTTTGATTATTCTATTCAGTAACCTTCTCTAGGTTACAACAGTATCCAAGTCAATCAAACACAAGAAAATGTGGCTGAAAGAAATGTGTTTTCAACTTCAAACAAATCCTCAGTTCATGTGGTGAGTGAATCTTTGTAGTGATCAAAGTCTTGTCTTAACTACAGCTTTTTCTGTGGGCCAATAAATTGAGAAAGGTCTAATTAATTTTAATCAACAAAAAATTAATAAAAAAAAAATTTTTTTTTTTTTTTTTTCTTAATTATGGGAGCAGTTTCTCTCAGTATTGTCTTAAATAATAAATGAAAATGTATTGAGCACAATGATTAAATTATCATTTGATTACTTTTCAGATTCAGTGTCTAGTCCACCAAAGTTGACGCCTCCTGATAACAAGGCAGCCACAGAGGGTAACACAAGAGAAAATGTTCAGTTTTATCACAATGTGGTCAGTCTTTATTTTTGCCTTCTTTATTGATTTTTAATCTTTTTCTTTTTTTTTTTTTTTTTTTTTTTTGTCATATTCAATAAATTTTGAATCATTTGTGCCTGGGATACTTCAGTTTTAACTCCTCTGTTTAATCAGATCCGTTTAATCAGATCCGTTTTATCTGATACAGGGCCATTGTACCAAGGGGCATCCATTTAGAATTAAACTCAATTCACAAATCAATTAGTCCATAAGATGAATTTGTTAGGTATCCGTAAGCTCAACTAATATAGCTGAAGTACTATTTAGTAGTTTGAGTAGTTTTTATTCTTTCTCCCTTTTTTCCTTTATTTTTTATTATATGACAGAGATTCTGGGAAACACACACGCGTATATTTTTTTAGTGAAATTGGAGTGGATTTGAACAGAGAAATTAGATCAGAGCTTTTTTGTTTATGGATGGTGAAACCTGATCTAGGGCAGAAGTTGTACCCATTGAACCTGGGTCATCAGGAGACAATGGAAATGGACGAAATAATTTTTATTGATTAAAACTTGGAATAGAGCTGAGTAAGCAAGAAGGACCTTTAGAATTCACATGATTTTGGTTGAAACAGCCAAAACCCCGTGATAATCACATGCGAAGTAGTAGGGCCAAGGGTCGGTTATGACCAGCCGGGCTTTTCTATATAAACACGTAGTTATGCTGAAAAAGAGGCAGATGGAAGAGAGAGACAGAAGAGAATTAGCCCGGGCAAAAGTTGGGTTAGAGACAGTGGAGAGTCGAGTTGGAGACTCAAGAAGGAGAGAACGTGACATCAGAGATTGGAACGAAACGTCCGCTAACATGTACTGTTGATATAAGTACTGCTGCTTCTGCTACCACAAATATTACTACTACCACTGTTACTACTGCTAAGGAGGAACACCACTATAAACTTTAAGCCACGCACAGAAATCTTATTCCCCCATTGCAAGAGTCATATATTGTTCTGAGACAATTTAACAACAAGTTAATCATACACATTTTCTCTCTGTCCAGAATCCAGTGTATGCATTTTTACGTCAATTACTTTTCTGTAACCTGTTTCTTTTCTATACTATTCTTTTCTGCTATATAAAAGACATTAACAATTCAATCATTGAATAGTTGTTTGTCCGGCTTTTTGCAGATATTAATTTTTTTTTTTGCTGCATTCTAAATTTCTTAGCGTAGACTCTCCAGCCGTGTCTACATCTTCAGTTGACTGTGAATGGATGAACATCACTTCTGATTTCTGGATCAAACCAAACACAATGTAAGCAGGAAGCAGGATTAAACCAGTAGACTGGTCGAATAATCTATGGATGCTCAGGGGACCTATGGCCACTCCCTTAAGTTCGGTTAGGACCGAGTAGACACCTCAACACAGAGAGTAAGACGTCGGAGGTTGAGGGGCTGAGGCAAAAGTGTTAGAATTACTTGATGCAGCATATAGTATTAACAGAATATTTGATTTTCAACAAAAGAAGGAATAGCCCAATATGTGGATTACAAATTAGAGACACTAAAATCAAGCAAGTTCAAAAATTTAAATATCAAGGAAGTGTTTTAACAGAAAGTAGAAAATGTGACACCAAAATTACAATTCATATTGGGATAGTGAAAAATGCCTTCCAAAATCTAAGCAAAGTATTAAAAAGCAGGAACAACTCATAAGAAATCGGTCCTCTTATATGACAGTGAATGTTGGACAATCTCATCACAGATGAAGAAGATATGTGAAACAAAAGAAATGTGGTTCTATTGAAGGATGCTGAGAATACCATGGACTGAACATGTGAGCAATGATGAAGTTTTGGAGAAAAAGGAAACAAAAAGGATACTTATACATAGAATCAAGAGAAAGTTGAAATTTCTAGGACACATACTGAGGAAAGTAGGCTTAGAAAATACAATACTTATAGGACATATTGAAGGTAAGAAGGGCAGGGGAAACTGTATAATCAACCTAGCGAGTTTGCGTAAATGGGTGGCAGAACCAGGATTAGGAGAGATAGTGAAAAAGACAAAATTCACAAAGAACCACAAAGAACAGGAAATTTTGGAGAGCCATGGCACATAGAAGAATAAAAAGTATAAAATGGTTTGCATTCAATTTCACACCAGACCAAGGAAGACAGATACAGCGATATTTTTTCAAGAATTATTTTAAGCTTATTGCATGTGATATTGATTTGCGAAAGGAAAAAAATGAAAAGAATCCTCTTTCATAACTTTTGTTTGTGTGTAACGTCAGCATCTTGATTAAGTTATTATTTTCTCATTGAGTTGCATATGCTATCCATTTTACTTGTTGCTGCTGTTGCAAGTCCTGAAGTGATGTTGTTTCTGTTATTTGGTACAGTTCTTTGTGATTCTGTAGTTCCAGTCCACAAGGTTTGAAGAGGTATGGTCCTCTCTATGACCTGGGAGCTTTTATTCTCCTCCACACACACACACACACACACACACAATTATTTGCGTATGTTAATTTATGGATAAATGTTGATCTGGTTCCTTAGACATCAGGAGTTGAATACATTGGTCATTAGTGCATAAAATATGCTGGTTTCATTATGAGGTAGATGTATCTTTAAACACAATTCATTTTGACTTTTGGCTAAATTTCTAGAGCTTTGGTGAGAATTTGCTTTAAAAGATTAGTCTTCCAGAGAAAGTAATCTCAGAAAAGTTTCAGTTGTCTTTTTTGGAGCTTTTTACAGTTAATTTTTTCTTGCATTACTGTTAATGGGGTGTTTAGAAAATTAGAATATTTCCAGTTTTCTTATAGTCATTAGTATATCCGTTATATAACTCACACACTAACACAATGGAAGGAAGGACCAGAATGGCTGGAGGAAATAAATGCCAAATATGCATTATTCTCAAGGAGATTTTATATACTGTTATTTCATATAAGAAATTATATACAAATATTTAAGTACCTGTTACTATTTCTCCCACATGGAGAAACTATAATATATATGAATACAACAAACAGTGGGAATGTGAAAAAATTGAGACAGTCTTACTTGTAATTTTTCCCAAAGGGAAAATTATCAGGCTATATGATGACTTTTATACTCTTTGTTTGGACCATGTGGTTTCCATTTGCTTGTCTTACAACTGCAGGCATAGCAACTAGAATTTGTTCCCTCGCCTACAAACTGATGTCACTCGCTGTCATGTGACCCTAGTGAATTTGTCCTATCAAAGGGGAGATAATCACTTTCTGCATCCTTACACACCCATTATGAAATTCATAGAGTATATGCAATATCAAACATGATACACATTTTATATTACTATAAAATCTAAACAATTCGCAACCTAGTAGAAACAAATACTAAAATAAGCCTAGCTTTTGTATACTGTTTAACATTGATTTTATAAGCATTAGTTGGTTTCAACTTTGGATACTTCCAATATGAGTTCATTTTCTGAATATTTCATTGTGGGACAAATAAAAAAAAAAATTCAGCCACAAGTTTTGATCATGATGGTAAATATACTACTAAAGTAATTTCTGTATTTGCACTAATATCTAGAGCTGTTAAAATTATAATATTGCATTATTAGGAAATTCTCAGAATTTTTTTTTCATTAATCATCGTTATCCTTAAGTAACAAAAATGAAAAGAAATCTGGTCCAAAATTAATTCTGGAAAGTTTTTTTGATTATTTCTTTTGTTTTTTTTTTTTTAATTATATTTTTTTTTGCTTTTTATCAATGCTTAACAACAAAGCAAAAATTAAGAAAAATTTCTTGTTTGCCATATTTAACCATTAACACTCTGCATTATTAATATTACTTCCCTTTCAACTGCATTATTAATATCAAGTCCTCTCAATTGTAGTATCCTTATTGTTAACTAGCAGCATAACCCGTCTTTGACTGGGTCTTTCATTACTGAGAATTTTTGCTGTTCAATTGGAGCAGTTTAAGTTTAAAGTCAGCTCTCCTGAAAATCAATATTAGTAACATCAATTGGGTGAAACTGAGGCACATCCTCTAATGGGGGGTTAACAATTTGAATTGGGGGGGTGTATTTGAAAAGGGAACTGTATAATAATAAATAATATTATTGTAATAATTTAAACTATTTATTTTAAACTTTTTATGAAAGATATATATCCAAGAACAGATAGTAAATAGTAAAACATTGTTGAGAGTTATAATGGACAGGAAGTAGTGGAGAGCCATTCTCACCAACAATTTGGACTCAAAACTGGCACTGAAGAATTATCTCTCAAACAAAAAAAATTCATCAAAATTGGATGAAAACTGGAAATGCATAAACAAAATCTGATCGCACACACACACACACACATACACTTTGAGAATTATAGATATAGATTTCACTCAAAGTTATTTTCTGTTGCTATAGCAGGATATGACAACACAACTATGAAATTTAAACACACTATTGTTCATGGATCAGTCACATTCAGTTGCAGGATAAACTTTTTCTACAGCAAATGAAATCCCATAAAGAGTGATAAAGGTTAATAAAACAAATATGTATGGCATTAAGTAGATAGATTTTTGTGTCTGGAATAGGAGGGTAGGTTGGAATATTAGGTTATTTTGGGAAATATATTTGTTTTCAGATCAAGAAAGAAAGAGTATGTTTGAATAAAAAGATAGGTTGGGAAAATAGTGGGAAAATAAAATAAATGGGTTTGGAATAACAGTCTGTTGGAAATCAAAAATTTAAATAGCTGGCCAGGACCATCTATTCTGGATACAAGAATGTTTAATTTTGTGAAATGCATCTGTTTGATGCTTTGGCACACACTGTCAGTGATGTTTTTTTAGCTGAGGATTATTATGGCTTTTGTGTCTTACAACATCATACCCCTTCTTCATGGTGATCCAGTCGATACTGATCAGATATCATCTTGTGTGCCATCCGCCAACTACAACTAATCTCATAATAATATCAGGCTGCCCTAATACACTGCAACTCTTATGGCCTTTATAGTCTAATCATGAACAATTTCCAGTTCACCAACCTCTTCACTCTCCCATAAAAAAAAAAAAGTAAAAAAACATAGTGACCGTTTCTTAAGAAATATGTTAAATATATAACAAAAAACTAAATACTTTTTACTTGAGATTAGATTTTGCATGTATTACTATTGATATATTTATTTATTTTAAAAAAAATGACTTTAGTGGAGGGATATGCTTTTTTATAAATTGAGATGAATTTTGTAAAATAAGAAAGAATTCCTTCTTTGCCATATTGCATATTGTCAAAATTCTGTTTTTTGCTTTTCTTTTTCAAAGGTACTTGAGAATGTGATTGAAACTGAAGAGAAACATGTTGGAGAAATGCGTACACTTCTTCAAAAATACATACGACCTCTAAAAAATAATAATATGTAAGTACATAAGAATTATTGTATCATTATTATTATTGTTAATATTATTACTGGTTTTAACCTTTGAAAATTCCATAGTTTCCCTATTTTAATAACCTGATGAATCTTAATTCTTAATTTAATGATTGAATAAAAATTTATGGCAAGATCTATGACAATAAAATATATCTGTAGAAATTCCCTTATCACATCGTTAAATATTTGATCTTTACAACTTTAACAAAATATTGCAATAACAATCATAAATATGAATGTTGGTGGTTATTTTAAGAAGTGGGTACAAATGAAATGACATGACACAGCAATACAATATCTGGAGAAATTCCATTATCGCATCATTAAATATTTGAGCTTTACAACTTTAACAAAATATTGCAATAACAATCATAAATATGAAGGCTGTGTTTGAAAAAGCTTCAACTCTCACATTGTTACATCGTCCATTGAAAATCGGGAAGAAAGGTATTTTCTGTGGTCAGGAATTAATGCAAGCACTATTGGCAGATAGAAAACAAGTATTTTATATATATATATATATATATATATATATATATTTTTGACACTCATAGCTGAAAGAGGGGAATGGAATAGTGAGAGAGAGTATAAGAAGAGAAGAAACTTATGAAAAGGAGAAATAACCACAACATCCTAACACATCTGCACATATACACACATACAGCCATGCACACAGGCATGCATAAAGAAGAAGAAATAATCAACCCTGCACCAGTAAAAAAAAAGTGCATAAATTATTTTTCAAGTTAATATAAAAATGATGAAAATGAGAAAATTGGCAGAAAATTGGTGATACCTCCTGACAAGTTGACAGGATGATTACAAAAATGTTCATCTACAAAACTCTGGAGTTGGGGTGCTGAATATAACATTAATCAGTTAAGTGAGAAATTTTATAATTGTATTAACTTGATGTATAATTGTATTCTTTCATTTCAGATTATCACAGACAGAATTTAATCAGCTAACCGGAAATCTTGAAGAGATTTTTGCCTTCCAACAGAAATTCTTGACATCTTTACAAGAAGTTACAAAGTTTGTTGCCAATTTTCTTTTTCTTTTCTTGTTTTTTCTTTTTTTTCTTTTTTGCTTTTCCTTTTTCCTTTTTTCTTTTTTCCTTTTTTCTTTTTTCCTTTTTTCTTTTTTCCTTTTTTCTTTTTTTTTTTTTTTTTCTTTTTTTTCCTTTTTCTTTTTTCTTTTTCCTTTTTTTTTTTCCTTTTTTTCCTTTTTTTTTTTCCTTTTTTTTTTTTCCTTTTTTCCTTTTTCTTTTTCCTTTTTTCTTTTTCCTTTTTTCCTTTTTCCTTTTTCCTTTTTTCTTTTTTCCTTTTTCCTTTTTCCTTTTTCTTTTTTTCCTTTTTTTCTTTTTTCCTTTTTTCTTTTTTCCTTTTTTTTTTTCCTTTTTCTTTCTTTTTTTCTTTTTTTCCTTTTTCTTTTTTTTCTTTTTTTCTTTTTTTTCCTTTTTCTTTTTTTTTTTTCTTTTTTCCTTTTTTTTTTTCCTTTTTTTTTTTTCTTTTTTTTTTTTTTTTTTTTTTTTTTTTTTCCTTTTTTTTTCCTTTTTTCCTTTTTTCCTTTTATCTTTTTTCTTTTTATCTTTTTTTCCTTTTATCTTTTTTTCCTTTTATCTTTTTTTCCTTTTATCTTTTTTTCCTTTTATCTTTTTTTCCTTTTTTCTTTTTTTCCTTTTTTCCTTTTTCCTTTTTTTCCTTTTTTTTCTTTTTTCTTCTTATTCCCTTATGAAATATTGTAAATGAAGATTTTCTTAGCCGTCTAAGGCTGGAAGTGCCTAAATGTACCCACATGGTTCATATGCTTACAGCCTGGTAGTGCCTGAATGTGCTCACAATTCAGTAGAACTGTATTTCAATACATAGCATTAGCACGTGTCACATAATAAAGTAGAGACGTCAGAAATCTACAATGACAGCCTTATCACCTAATCAGCAGTACCAAGGGAGATAACTGGTAAATTGAAATAGTCTCTCTTGTCATGAACTGCAACAAATTACACAACACTTACTTTGATTAACCGCATTACTTAGTATGATTACTTCGGTAGTTATATAATTGTAGAAAATTGTCTTGGTTGGCATTAATATAAGTGACAGACTGTTGATTATTTATAGCTAATTTGTTTGTGCCACATTATAATAACTGTAAGACCCTCGCCTGGAAAAGAACAACACGAGTGACCGGTGTTACGGGACCATTATCTTGCAACTGCTCACATCAAACATAAAATAACTTTTGGGACATGGAATATTCTAACATTGAACAACGGCCAGCTAGATAATGTGAAACGAGATATGAGAAGGCTAAAAATCAACATCCTAAGTGTATGCGAAACCAGATGGCCAAAGAATGGAGATTTTGTCAGCAATGAGCACAGGATTATTTATGCAAGCAGAGAGAAAATGACAAAGGAGTAGGATTAATACTAGATAAAACATTTAAGAAATGCATTCTAGGACACTACAAACTATTCAAAGAATTCTGGTAGTCAAGCTGAAAGGCTAGCCTTTCAACATAGCTGTCATAATAGTGTATGCACTGACAGCACAAAGTAATGAAGAAGAAATCAACTATTTCTACTTCATGCTAGACAATGCCAAGGCTCTTTGCAAATCACAAGTCATCATTATCATGGGAGACTTAAACGCCGAAGTAGGCAGGGAGAGGGCAGAGGATATAGCTGGAAAATTCGGACTAGGAACCCGCCATGAATCTGGAGAAAAATGTATCCAATGGTGCATGGCCAATGACCAGGTAATAGCCAACACATGGTTTCAAGAACATCCGAGATGATTATGGACATGGAGGAGCCCAGGAGGAGAAACTAAAACCAAATTGAGTACATAGCTATCAGCAAAAGATTCAGGAATGCAATGGTTCACTGCAAAACCTACCCAAGTGCCGACTGCGGAAATGATCATTGCCCTATTATATGTAAACTAAGAGTGAAACTACAGAAACTGAAGAAGCCTAATGCAGCACACAAATTGCAATACAACAAACTCCTGAGTGACCCATACGTGAAAGAAAAATATATGGACAATGTGAAAAGAAGATATAAAGGACACAATGGAAACTCAAAATGGGACACACTAAGAGATGCTTTAGTGACATCAGCAAATGATATCACCCCAAAGGAGAATGGATGAAGAAGAAAAAAAATGAATGGATGACTGATGAGATTCTCAGCATGATGCAAAGGAGACAGAAAACTCTGCCAAGATATGGAATGGAATGGAATATAGAAAATTACACAATGAAATAAGGACCAAATGCAGGCAGGCTAAAGAAGAATGGCTAAACGAAAAATGTGCAGAAATAGAGAGATGGAGTATCACCAACAAAAGGGATATGCATAAACAAATAAAGAGAACTAACAGGACAGAAAACATGCTTGTCAACAGGCTGCTAAAAATCAAAGGATGGAAAACTCATATTAGAGAAGGAAAAAAAATTCTTCAAGGAGCAAGTATATTAGAGAACTCTTCCACAATGAAAGAAAACAACCAGCAATGTTGGACGGTCTCCTCAAAGATGAAGAAGAGACTTGAGGCAACAGACATATAGTTCTACAGAAGGATGCTAAAGATATCATGGACCGAGAGTGTGAGCAACGATGAGTTTTTGGAGAGGATGCAAACAAGGAAGAAGCTTATATTTAACATCAGGAAGAGGCAGATGAAATTTCTGGGACATGTAATGAGAAAGGAGCACTTGGAGAATCTGATACTCACAGCTCGAATGGAGGAAAAAAAGAGACAAGAGAAAGTATTTCCTGACATATCTGGTGGGCTTAAACAAGTGGATGACAGAATGTAGTCTGGGGGAGGTGGCAGAGGGACAAAACTTATTGGGAGCTACAAGGAATAGGGGAGGAAGTGGAGAGCCATGATTGCCTATGTCCTGAAGGGACATGGCACATAAAAAGAAGTAAAATGATGCACTGTAATAAGTAACCAGGTAATCGTTTTAAGTTCTCTGACAATTGGTGCTATCCAAAATTAAATTAATAAATAAAAGCAATAAATTTATGATTGTTTTTAAAACGTGATATTTAAATAAGAGTGATTTTTTTTTTTTTTTTTTTTTTTTAATGTTTTATTTTATTGTTTTTTTTTAGTCATTTCAGTGCATTTTTGTTGACGTTTGTTGATATGGAATGGTATGACAGAGATCAGTACAGAGAGCATAATTAGTGGACCAAATTTGAATTTTAACTAAATCTGTTTTATGTCCATTTTTGGGAAAGGCATAACACCATTTCTTCCTGCACTCTGTACAGTTACCATAAATTTTGTCACTGGTATATGATGAGAAAAAGAAATGCAGTTAGTAAGTGAGCACTCCCTCCAGCTGCAAAAATCTTTCCCTCTTATTGTCAGCCTTGACAGAAACTAATTGCATAGATTTAAGATTAAGTTTATCAGTGTAAGGAATTGGAATATTGTCGTATCACCATTCCAAGTTAAAGAAAGATGCTGATCAAGAAGAAAGCTAATTCAAAAATCTTTCTTTTTCTTAATTTTCATATTTCTCATTTTCAAAACTTTTTTTCATTTTTAAAATCTTTTATTTTTGTAGGAATTCTCCTCCCCAACGAAGGATGGGTGGGGTGTTTATTGAGCACGCACCTACGTTGAAGGAGCTTTATCTGGTGTATTGTGCCAATCATCCTAGTGCTGTGGCTGTTTTACAAGCTAAAAAGTAAGTCTCTCTCCTCTGGCATGTATGTTGAATATTATTATAGCATGACCACTTTCTTGGATCTTGTTTAGTATAATCATAAACTCAGAGGAATTTATCATTATTCTTAGAAGGGACAAACTTTTGTTAGCTTGTCAACTTTTTTGATAATGTCAAAACTCTAGAGCTGAAGAAGACTGTAGAATAGATTGGCTGAAATGTTATAACAACAAAAGCAGCATAAAAAATTAAAGTAGTCTGAACATCTGTTGGAATTATGAAAATACAATTATTTTGCCTTTTCTCTGTGTGTGTGTGTGTGTGTGTGTGTGCACACACACACACACACACACACACACATATATGTATAAGGAGATCAGACAATTCTGCTACCTTGGTTTCAACCACTTTGGTATCTTCAAGAGAATCACCTGAAGATATTGAAAGGTTGAAACCAAGTTAGCGGAATTGACTGATCTGCTAATTTTTTTATAGCTAAATTTTTTTTTTTTTATATGTGTATTTTTTTTATATTGAGTTATTAATATAACTGTTTTCAGGTCTAACTCGGCTGACCATTAACTTTATATATATATATATATATATATATATATATATATGACAAATTTCAGTATGTAACAGTAAATTTTTCTATAGGATACAATGCAAAGAATGATGCAAAATCTTGGAGGCTTGTGTAATAAAAGAGAAGTAAACAGCATTAAATAAAGTATCTTTCTTCATAGGGAACTGTATATTAAAGTGTGTTTTTAAAAAGTAAAGAAAAATGCACATAAAAATTTCAGTTAGACAATTTAAATGGCGTCACCTTGAGTGACTTGAATTTGGTTCCATTAAATGTGAGAATGCTGGAATAAAACAGAAACATTTCTGTAAATATATACAAAACAATCCTTGAAAATGAATGTAGCAACATCCGAAAGTACTCTGAAAAATAATATAAAAATAAATATAAACTTTGGCAAATTTACTGATAACATAAAACAACAAATTCAGAAATTTTAAAAATTTAATAAAATAAATTGATAGCCTGTATTTGCTGATATTATTTAAGCAAGCATGTTTGAAAATATACATATATGTACACACACTCTCTCAATAATATATAATTATTGAGAGTGTATGTGTGTGGTTGAAAAAAACTATCAAAATTTCTTTCTTATATATTTATTTATTCCATATCTTGAACCATTTTCCCAGTATATGGTACATATTTGAATATTACTTTTCCAGTGTCTGAGTAATTTCAAGTTTCATAAGTTTTTATCAAAGAGTTTTTTTGTGGCATATCAGTGTGATTTTTAAAAAAAATATTCTGCCTTCACATGTCATGTTCCTTTTTAAAGTATTGCATCTTCATGTGACAGTTTGTGTTATCATGTTAACTTACATACATATATATATATATATATATATATATGTGTGTGTATGTGAGAGAGAGGAAACTATCATAATCTTGGATACTAAAAGCAGAATTACAAAAGCTATCTTTCTGAATAAGGCTGTAGAATGGATTGTCTTTATCTTTCTGAATAAGGCTGTAGAATGGATTGTTAGAAATGAGACATAAAAGCAAAATAATAAGTTTAATGACCAATTCTTGGAATATTATTGGCAATGCAACAAGAGATGGTGTTTTAAAATATGCATAAAATATTTAAAGACACATATAAAATAATTATAATATAAGTTTCCAGTGTTGTGAAACTTTGTGTATATAACTAACTTTTGACTCTGTCCTAAAATCTTAAAGAAACTCTCAGCTATAACTGGAAAAACTGATAACTTAGTGGACATGAGAAATCTATTTTTCACAAAGTGTTTTTATAAATTTCAACCAAAAGTAACACAAACTTTTCAGTCAGTGAATGGTTTCTGTATAGAAATGGCTAATTTTAGCATTACCACATATGCACACACAAATAGATGCTTAAAATCTCTTGGCTCAAAGAGATTTTCTCAAATAATCTGATATTTAGTCCTATTTTTGGTAATGCGTGTTAAATAATGTATATAATCTTCTAAAGTCTAGAAAATCTTTGCTTGATTTTTCCTTGCTAGTCTTTATGCATGATTTGTATTGTTCCAGTTTTTTCATTGGCTAAAGTTAACTTTACAACTTATTATTTAATGAGTAAAACATCAGTGTTTAAACAAAAAAAAAAAAAAACAAAACTTAAAAATCTTAATAGAGCTACATAAATTTATTATGGTAATAAAAATGGACATAATTAAAAAAAAAAAAATTCAAGCACTGAAAAAACAAAACTACCATAGTTAGTATAGAAATAGCACATTTTGACTTTGATAAATTTATTGTATGATTCTAAAATTTGTATTTCAAGAGAGGAACTTGGAAAATTCATGGAATATTTGGGAGCTGGAGCTATGACTCTGACAACAAATTTGTCCAAGCCTTTTACTCGGTTGGATAAATACCCAAGTCTGCTGAAAGAACTGGAGACACATATAGAAGTAAGTAATTTAATGTACAGATTTATATGCGCACACACACTCTGATATTAATTACCATATTCAGGAGCCTACCATTTTTAAAAGATTGATAAATTGTGTCATGTGACAAACGAGATAATATTGGATTAGTTCTGATTTTCTTACTATCATTTGCATACTTAGTTACTAATGAAAATTGTAGTTTAAAAATTATTTTTTGACAAGAATTCCTGATTTTCATTTTGTAGGTACTGAAGAATTAACTTCAAATTTCAGAAAGTAAACGAATGATTAGTTTAAGGTAACTTGTGTCCCCCCCACCTCAATTTCCCCATAAAAGATCCAAATTATATTTGGTGTTGGAGTTAATATTCATAATTGTTGTAAATACTATTCTTTGGTTCGTTTCAATAACTTATAATTTTCATTTGTCAATTTCTTTTTATTTTCATTTTCAATTTTATTAGTACAGGGGAGATAACTCCGATTACATAATGTAAGGGACATAACCATTATCTGGAAACTGATTTTTAGAAACAAAATTCTTTATTAATTGCTAACAAGCTGGATTTCTTTACCTTCATTACAGCATCATTTAAAGATAAATTTTAACTCTACCGATGTCTTGAATTCATTGCTTTTTCGAATTTATTGAATTTACTTTTATTTCATTTGTTGTGAAATCATTTTACTTTTAAGGCAGCTAGACAATCTTGCCATTACATATATGTGTATTTTATCAGTTAAACGTTAGTTTTTAGTGGATAATTGTATTTTAGTAGATGCTCCTTTTATTTATTATAACAGTATATTTATTTATTTCCGTCTACTAGCCTGAATATTTAGAAAATCTTATAAAAAAATGATGCATCCTCCTTATAAGCAGATGAAAATAAATATACTGTTTAATAAATAGTACTTTATAAGTAGATAATCTATGTATAAAGTAAAGAGATTGTAAGTATAAGTGTTTCATAAACAGGATAGTGATTTTTATTTTACAGTATAGATGTTAAAATATGAGCATATTTAGTTTTATTGCACTTTGTTTTACAAATTTTTTTTTTTTTTACAGCTTATCAATCCCTTATGTGTTACTTAAAGGCAAAACATATTTTTTGAATTGTAAAAATAATTTTTTTTTTTTTTTCAAATAACAAGAATTTTTTCAAATACAAGTTTTACTATTTCACCCATAACTGGTGGGGAAAAATGTATTCATACCATTATCTAGGATATACATAAGTGACTAAACGAACCCAAGTGAAATTAAAACTTGGCTCTCTAATTTCTCATTTTGAGCCGCTATCATTTACACCACCTGCACACCCATTTTTACAAATTGAAAATTTTTGGCAATCTTTTATTGAGCAAGTTGATTGATGTTATTTTGCCATCTGGCTCAAATGAGAATTTACATTTTTTTTTTTTTTTTTTCAGCAATAAAATATTTTTTTCTTTATGTTCATTATTGTATTTTTTTTTATTTTATTTATTTAACCTAATGCTATAATATACTGAAGGCAGCAACATAATACAAGCCTAACTGTAAATGCACTGGGAAACCCCAAAATTACACTACTTGTTTTATTGATGTGCTCAGGAACTGAATCCACAATCTCCAAGATATTCCCAGTGATAAATCTACTATGAAACTAATCCCAGAGGGTCCTCTGAAGCAACGTTTTTTAATGAGTGACTTTTTCAACAAAATTTATATATATATATATACATTAAGAAATGGACAAAGTCCGACAATTTATTAAAGACATTTTTATGTTTAACATTCTTTTTATAGATACAAGTATTTTAGTAAATGCTGTTTATATTAAACAATATTAAATAACATTTACCGGCCTGAATGTCCGAGAAATTTTCATAGAAAATATTCGTCCTTTGACATGATTCGAACCTGCATCCTATACGGAACCGTCATTTAGCTTGACGTGCCTAACCTCTCGGCCACAACCAAACGATCCTTTCTCGGACATTCAGGCTGGTAAATGTTATTTAATACTGTTTAATATAAACAGAGCATTTACTAAAAAATTTGTATCTATAAAAAGAATGTTAAACATAAAAATGTCTTTTATATATATATATATATATATATATATATATATATACACATGCACATACACATTTGTAGTGCAACTCATAATTTCATGGTTACCCAATTCATTAGGCACAAATGGTAAATGAACAATTTAAAACAGTTGTTTTTAAAATATTCTGGGTCTCATGAGAGGGATGCTATATTCTATGCAGATTCAAAGTTCAAGGTTATTATTAATTTAATATAATATTGGGGTATAAATTCAAAATATAGAGTCTTGACATTTATCTATCATATATACCCTGGTGTTCTGACCCTCCGCCTTCTAAGTCCCACTCCCATCCCTCCTCGGTGTTTTATAAGTTGGTTGTGAGTTCACTATACTACAGCTTTTTCAACCTGCCTGAGGAGATCTAGTGATTGAAACCCAGGTAGTGTGGTTGTGAGAGTTTTTTTTTCCCAAGGTATAATATATATATATATATATATAACATGTTTGTATTCAAATAATTCCACTTTAGTGACAGAATCATAAGCTAATGGATTGAAATAGCTAATTTGGGCTTTAGAAGATGTTCTAATATCCATTTCACATGAACTCAAATTTCCCCTGTAATTGGTCAAATTAAAAGATTTTCTTGGGTGTTTGCAGCTTCCAGCTAGTTGTATGGGCTCGTTGAGCTCACTAGAATCTATTCATGGCATACATTCCTGTTGTTGGATCCTTGTTGCTGGTTGCAAAGGGACCCCTATATTTTTTCAAAATTCAGATCCACTAACTGGGTATGCCTGTACAACAGGTTGTGCTGATGTGCATAAGAATTCTCGCAATATTTGAAATTGTGGTTGAGGAGATGAATGAATCTGACCACAGTTGAATTGTTGTAACACCTTCCCTCTGACTCTGACTGACTTCATCTTACCGCTAGTTATCACTGTGGCTTGCTGGTTAATTTTTGTTTTCAAATTAAAGCTACGTAATCTTAAATCATGTGATGAGATAATTTGCTCTACTCTTGTTTGACCATGTCTAACATTTGCAAGTTTTCTGTTCAGACAATTATAACTTTCTGTGGAAAAAATCACTCTTCTGAATATATTAAAGTATTTATTAAGCCTAACTTAGTCTGATAGAAGGTCAAATAGCAGAAGGGACATTGTGCTGTGCCAATTTCTTTTTCAAGTTAGAAGCATAACTACTCTAAAAATCAACATTGCAAATCCCTAATTTTATCAAAGCTTGGATATTTCATCACTAATAACAGTAGGAAATACACGAGAGACCTATGTATACAATGGAAGTAACTTATTAAATATATTAGTATCAAATGGTTAATGATATCAAAATTAGTTGGTTTTGGTTCATAGAGAGGTGTATGTAATTTGTATGAAAATTTGCATAAGATTGAGATTTGTGATTTTTTTTTATTTTTTTATTTTCAGACAGGTTGATCCAGTTCCTGAGATTATATAGCCCCTTATACTAAATGTGGATTATACTGTTATTTTCTTACATGGAATATTTTTTTAAATTTCAGGAGGGTCATGTGGACCGTGGAGACACACAGAGGGCAATTGCAGTATATAGGGACATATCAGTAAGTAGAATGATTTTCCAGAAAATTTTAATTGAATGACTAAGTTTGTAGATACAATATCGGAAAGGGATGGCAGTGTTTGTAGACGCATTATCGGAAAGGGATGGCAGTGTTGATAGACGCAATATCGGAAAGGGATGGCAGTGTTTGTAGATGTTGGTTTGAACTTTGAGCATTCAATATTTTGTATACTTTTAAAAATAATTTATTTTCATTGGTCAGTAATTTAATACAAACATTAATGTGTTGGGTTATAAGTTTGGTGTGATACTCAAAGAAATGGTGTATTTTGAAAAAAAGGCTATAAACACATCAGCCGAAATGTTGTGATTCTAAACAATGTTGTACATTGAAAAAAAAGAAATAAACACATCAGCCAAAATGTTGCGATTCTAAAAATTATGTGCAATAATATTCTTTCATTTGTTTTTTTAATTGCTTATTTTATGCTATGATGTTAAAACTGCAAGCAGTTTCTTAAAAGCCATACAATGAAAATATGTTCCATTTAAGAAAAACTAATTTAACTTATTTTCTGTTTCTTTTCATTTTATATATTTTTAAATAGCATAACAAATGCTTAACCAAATATATCTCATTGAGCAACTTGTTTTTCTGATCAATCAAAGTTTAATATTTGATGTTGCACCTTTTCATTGCATTAACATGTTAACTTTCCATTGTGATAGCTGTGGCAAAATTCTAGTCAATGAATTACTTTTTTTAAAAACCTACCTTAAATTAATCCATCAGCAAAACCTCTGTCTAGGAGACTGGATGTTTTGAGATGCATGGAATCACTTCTGAATTGCTGTTCTTCCCAGGTCCACCCTGACGTAGGATGTTACCACCTGTTAGGGTCCTAACTATTAGCAGATCATGAACCAACAAACAAAAACAAAATACTATGAAAGTATAAAAATACATTTTTATAGTAGAATTACCAACAATACCTATTTATAGCAAAATGACCAATTATACATTTTATTTGTAGTTGAAGCCATAAAATCGTGTTTAAAATATTTAGATTTTGGTATTAAATAACCCATAGAGATGTTGATATGCCGCTAAACAAAATCAACCAATCAAAATCAAAATATTTAGATTTCAGCATTAAATAACCAATAGAGGTGTTGATATGCCACTAAACAAAATCAACCAACCAAAATCCAAATATTTAGATTTCGGCATTAAATAACCCATAGAGGTGTTGATATGCTGCTAAACAAAATCAATCAATCAATCAACAAACCTATCTTAAAAATATGACTCAGTCTTGTGTTATATCAAGTGGATAAGCAGATTTCTTGTTCTAAATTGCGACCCTTTTGCCATTTGAGTGTAAGTCCCCACCCTTTTGCTGTTTAAGGATGAATGACAAAATGATGACTTTTGATTGTATGCATTTTATGTTAATAGAAATAAGTGAAATAGAAAAATCTTTGCATTAAAAAAAAAAATAAGAAGAAAAAGTAACCCTTAAATTTTAAAATGTTCTCTTTATTACAGAATTCATGTACAGAAGTAAGAAAGCGTAAAGAAATGGAATATGAGATTATTCACAGTACGATCAAAGGCTGGGAAGGTGAAGTAAGTATGTTTCGCTGTTGATTGCAAAATTTAGGGTTGAAATGAAATCACTTATTCAGAGTGACTCATCTACTAATAAATGTGGACCACATGCAAGCTTTGATATGAGAAGTTACAAGGTATAAAATACAACAATTATGTTTAGACACCCTAAAAATTTGGTAATCTTGGACCTTTAGTTTTGAGTCTGTGAATTCTTTGAGGAATTTTTTTTGATATATTGAACTTTTTTGAACAGCTGACCAAAAGTGTGAAACAAGTGATAGCCTGAAGTTAATGAGTCTGTAGAATATTGCCACAAGTGGAAGAAGTTGCCATAATTTGTTGCACCATATTTACACTATTGTGATGATGTAATTCTGCACATCACTGTACAAGGTGTAATGACATCCAAAGTTGGCTGAATGCAGTTTTGTCTTGATTATGGCCATGATTGCTGTCAACAAAATAATAGCAACAAATGCTTTTCAAGAGCTTGTTGGATTGGGAAATAGCAAAAACAATAAGAATTTTCACTTAGTCGGCATTGTCATACTTTTGCTACAACAAAGCGAACTTCTATCTGACTTCTTTTTAAGTTCCGGCCATGGAAAACAAGCCCTTACACACCCTTCACTCACTGTCCGATTCATTATATGGATATTGGCTGAGGGACCCACCACCCCTTTTCATCCACTCGTATTCCACCAATATGTAAAAGGGGACCACTCAGACAGGTTTTGGGGGATCAGTTTTTCAAAGGACCCTACTTTTATGGCTATCTAAAAAACACTGATAAAACTTTGTTTGACATTTCAAAGGTGGGCTGGAGACAGGATTCCTGAACAGCCCTGGTCATTAAATTGACTTAAAAGAAGAAAGAAGCTATCTATTCATCTCCTAAGGATGTGTGAGAAATTGTATTTGGTGCAATATAAGGATGAGTGTTGTCATTTCAATAAAATCTCTGTTTGGCTTTGTTCAGAGAAAGATCTGTTTCAATGCATTATTCTGACAGGCCAACGGATAACTGTAGCATTGTACAGTAATAAATTATCTAGGTTCCAGCAATTTATGATGAAGTATTTCCTTTGAATCATTCTAAATGCAAAACTTTTTAGAAGATCCTGTTGAGGTTGGGATGTTGAATCCTTTCCAATCTAGTCAGGAGTTGCTTTATTTTGGATTATTGGAATAAATCCATATTTCATCATTATTGACTATTTGCTAAACTTGGGCTTTCATGCCTGCCAAAAAAATTAGAAGTGTCAAAAGGGTGGTACTTCTCATGACTTTTACTATTTTAACTACCTTCACTCCTCTCTTTTTTTTTTTTTTTTACATTTTTTATGCTAAGCACTATTTGTTAGATTGTTTATTTACAAGAATAATTTTATATTTTTCAACATTCTAAAAACGAATACAATACAATATTTATCATTTATAACTTTCTAAAGAAATAAATATGAAAACAATTTTTTATTCATAAATTTATAAGCATTTATTGAATTATTAAAATATGCGAACCAACTCCAAGGAAATCCTTATTTACCATTTTATAAAGTTTGAATTGATTGACAGCCAATGTTTTGTCAATGATTCCAATAGACAATCTAATAAATATTGTAAATAAGCAAGCTAAAGAATAGTATTTATTATTAGTATTTTTACTCTTTTTTTTACCAATTTTACTTTATTTTTACCAATTTTACTCTAACCTGGAGTGTTGGGATAAAAAGTAATAATTTACAAGGTAGTCACAATATTTTGTGTTACTTTTCTCATCATTCTTACTGCACACACGATACACTATTTACATTATTCAGACTATTGTTGTCATATTTATTACAACGTTTCGGCCATTGTGGTTGGAATGTCAAACTGAACCCTTTATTTTGCTCACTGGGATAGACTGTTCTAGTTCTAATATAGTTTTAGTGTAATAAATATGGCTACAAAGATGAGGACAATAGTCCAAATAATGTAAATAGTGTATACCTCATCTCAGAAATATAGACAGATACTGCACGCATGATGTTGTTAACATCAAGAGAAGAAAATAAATTATTTGCATATGTTAATCAGACCATTTTTTAATGTTTATATTTTTAAATGTTTTCTTAAGTGTAAGAGATTAATAGGTAAATATATAGGTAATTTTAATGGTACAGATAAGTTTTAGTACTTTTGTCTTGTGACCTGAAAATGTGTTTATCAACTACTGATAATATTTAACTTTTATACTTTATCATTGTTTCAAATTTAAAACATGATGATTGTAATTAAAGTTGATTTGTTGGTCAGTGTACTCAGCTTCTTTTTAGTATATATTTTGCACCTCATTCAGTAAGTTTATCACTTTTCTCTTTCATCTTTATCTTTGAAAATAGGTCAGAGGTTATTGATATATGGCCTTTTCATTTAATTCAAAATGGGTCAGATGATTGTTGATATATGATCTTTAATTTCATGTGGGGAGGGCTGCTGCCTGCCAAAATAGTTGGTCTCAAATGATTGTTACCTACAGATTATTTGATTATTTCTCTTTGCATAAAAAAAAAAATTCCAGCTGTTGCTTCTAACTTCATAGACTGTTGAAATTGAATGTATTTATAAAAGCTCATTGCTTTTCCAGTTTATTTATTTAATGGTTCAGATTAAGCTGAACCATTTAAATTGGAGATTGGCTATAAGAATGATATTTGCATACCTTATGGAACTATTTGACAAGGTGAAAAAAGATTTTGTGTGATGTGTTTTGAACTTTAGGATTTATTGGACTAAAGTGATGTTTATGTTGATGTGACTACACTTGTTCACAAAGGGGAGAGGGCACTGAAAAATTAAAAAAAAATATTTCTTTTTTTTAATGTTTTGAGTGTATAGTTGTGCTGATTTCATTTAGTTTCTTTTTTTATCACTTTTGTTATTAAATATCACACATGAAAGAAGATTATAAGATTTCTAAATTATAAGATTATTCTATTCTAGATTATAAGATGTTGATGATGATGATTATAAGATTCTTATTATTATTATTATTATTGATTATAATCTAAGATTATTATTATTATTGTATTTTTTTCTTTTTCAGGAAATAACACAGCTTGGAGATGTTGTGCATTTATCTCAAGTGAAATTAATAGCCCAGACAGGTGAAAGGTCTGATCGTGTATTTGTGTTGTTCCAGAATGTGCTTGTCATGTTGTCTCTTGGCCCAAGACTAAGTGGTTATCATTATGAGGTTAGTATCTTAGAATATTTTGATTTTCTCACTTTCATTAATATATATATATATATATATATATATATATATATATATATATTTGTGTATATCTATAATGTATATATTTCTTCAAATAACTTAACAGATGAATCAATATATCTTGTTACTCATGAACCTGTTAATGATCGCACTGAGGTATTCGGTCTCAATAGAAACATCTAAATAACACTACATTAATGATTGGGATAAAAATAGCATTATATATGACAATTGTTTTCTTTCAATATAGTCTGTTGAAAATATGTTGGCCATCCTTGTCAGTGCATTTAATTCAGTAGTAAATATTACTTACATAGAAATTTCAAGACCATTTTTCAGCTAATAATTACATGTCAGGTTGTAGTATTATTGAAGCTCCCTTGTATGCCATTCAGTAACTTTAGACAAGGCCTGTCAAACAAGCCTTCCTAATGGTTGGAATTTACAAACTGGAAAAATTATTTCCTTCAAGGATAATTCTTCCCTCTTCCAGGAACAAAACAAAATCAAACAGAAATAAAGTAAAATTAATGTATTAATCATCAGTCATATGGAGAGAATATTACCTTTAATGAAGATGGTTAAATTTAGAATAGTGGAGTTTTTATATCTGTCTATATTTCTGAGATGAGGTATTATGTACACTATTTACATTATTTAGATTATTGTCCTCATCTTGGTCGCCATATTTATTACAATGTTTTGACCGTTGTACACTTTGGCCTTTTTCTGGTGGTTGGAATGTCGAACTGAACCCTTTATTTCACTCACTGGGGTCGACTGTTCTAGTTCCACGTGCCATGTTTAATGGATGTCAGTTATCAGTTATCTCCTGTTAATTCCCCTCTCCAAGTTCTCCACTGCCTTAACCGGGTATTGAACTTACACTCTAGGTCTTGTCACTAGATCTAACCAACCCCTTTATCCACTGTACCATGTTTCCTAGAGGTCATATGTGCATTATAAACCTAATGTTATCAGCAACCATTTTTTACCAGTGCTCATATTGCAGTTTTTGCTGTTATCATTGTGTGGAACTAGAACAGTCTACCCCAGTGAGCGAAATAAAGGGTTCAGTTCGACATTCCAACCACCTGAAGAAGGCAGGAGCATACAACGGCTGAAATGTTGTAAATAAATATGGCAACCAAGATGAGGACAATAGTCTGAATAATGTAAATAGTGGAGTTTTTATGTTCTTCATTTTTTTCTTCACTTTTTTTGTAACATCCCCGCCATTTAAAGTCCTTATGAATTTAATTGATTGGCGGCAGTTTTTCCCCACTTTCCCACCATTTAAAGCCTGGACATGTTTAACAGATTGCAGGAATTTGTTTTCTTTGTTTTATCAAAGAATATACTCTTATTGCCTGTCATATAATGCACATATTATTATTATTATTAAAATGTTTGATAAAACAAAATAACCCCATACATGATTTCATAAAATGGTTTGGTCTTAGTGTAGGCTTACTGATTGCTATGTCTTCTCTTCACATCTTTTTTTTGCCTGAAATGTTTATTAGTTTTATTCTTAATAACAATATAATAGGCTATCTTACAAGCTGTTACCAAACATTTGTTGAGACGTGGTAGTAGTTGGGCTGCTACAAATTAAAAAGAAATCTGAATGTCCCCAATATCCCCAATGGTAAATTATGAGTGAGTATTATATATTCTTGTACATTATTTGGTGGGAAAAACTGTCATTTTTTTTTCTTTTAAATATTCCTGTGTTCTATTTGTAAGGACTAAAAATTCTCTGTGGATTTTCATGGATGTTTTAAATCCATGTGGCTGGAATGTACAACTAATTGGAACTAAAACTGCTGTGTAAATTGGAAGTAATTTTGTACGAGGAAAAAAAAAAAAAAAGTGGGAGGTGGGTTGGATTATATGCAGGTAATATTATGAAAATTTTATTTATTTGTATCAATGAAGTAATTTCTGCATAAGTTATATAGCTGTTGGATTTTTTTTTTTTGGTGACAGAAACTTTCATTTTAATCTCCACTGTGCTGAATGATGTGTTAATGCTTTTAATACTTTTTATTTTCTAAATGATATTATATAATGTCCTTTGTTGTTGAAATATGTGATTTGTATTCATTTTGGCCTCTAGTCATTGTTATGACTAATAATAAATTTTCAGCAAAGCTATTTAGTTTCTGGGGAATCTCTATATTTCTATTCTTGGCCTACACACATCAGGAATAAGTATGGTTAAAAAAAGGAAAGCAGGCAAGGATTTCCAACTTCTGGATTTATACAGGTTGCTAAAATTTTCTTGCAATGTGTTGAGTAAACTGAAAACTGTTCTGTTTTAACTTCATTGTAAAATCAAAATTATACCTGAAAATATAATTTTTACATAAAGAAAAAAAGTTATCAAATTTATAAATAGGCTACTTCATTTAAGAATTGACCTATAGTCAAATCCCACTGTAAACAATGGTTTTTGTTTGATCACCATTTAAGTAGTGTTGAGGCTGGTTAGTACTTAGCTGGAAGACTGATTGAGAGCACCAGCTACTGTAAGCAACCTCCTACCGTCTGAAATATATTTTGGCTTTAAGGGTTGATATCTATAAAAAAACATAATTCAAATGCCTTTTAAGAATTGGTAGTTTTTTATCTTGTTTGTTGTCTTGAAGTAAAAAAATATCTGTCATGATTAAGTGAGGTTCATTAAATGATTCTGTCAATGTGTCAAGCTTTGATTCTGGATGGCGCACTGATAACAGACACATTTCTTTTCCATTGAGCATTGACTAACACAATACGAATTATATCTTTAAACATTAAAGTTGATTGAATGCCATGAGAATATAAAGTAGTAAAAAGCAAACTGATTTTACAAGCCACTGATAACAAAGTCACTGTGTAACAAAATTTTGATCTTTTTTTTGTCCTGATTACTAATTGCTTCATCTAGAAAGCAAAGGAAATGACAATTATTTTCTTCAAACTTTGCTTTTGTGACCTAGACATCGATGTTTTTAATCTAAACTATTTCTACTACATTCCAGACAGGTTCAGCAATGATTTGATAAAAGAGAATTTTCTAGAACTTTCTAAAAGTTTCAAGTATTTCTGGCTACCAAGGATCATATAATGAAAACATGATGGGAGAATATATTTGGGGGCCAATTCATGAGAGTAATTAACAGTATAAGTGTAAATAACAAAAAAACTACTTGTAAATTTTTTTTGTGGTCTTTCTTGTGTAATTATAGAATAAATAAATGCTACTTTTGAATCCTATGTTGTTTTGTTCATACATTGTGTGAACAAAAATGTTCACATTTGCCAGTTTTCTCAATGGGAATAGGTCATTTTCAGAAATATCATTATCCTGGTCATAAAAACAAAGTTTGAAGGAAATATTTGCTATTTTACATACTTTCTAGGCATAAGCAAATAGGAAAAAACAGTTTCTCCCCAAGGACAAAATCATGTTATACAGTGCAGTCATTTTTATCTGTATTATTTCTTAAAAGGAAAAACTTTGTTGTATACTCTTTGGTGTGTAATAATCATACCCAGCACTTGCTTATTATTTTAAAAAAATACCCCCCCTCCAAATTCCTGATCGCCAACCTATTTGCTTACATGGTAACATCCTATTCTGGATTTAGTCTGACCCGCTCTGCAGATATTTCCAGTCTTCTCCCACTTATTCTACCTACCTTAATTGATTTTGAAAAAAATCCACCCCCATTCCAATCCCCTGTTTATTTTTCTCTTCTCCCTACCGATATAACACCTAAGAGAATGTATCAATCTTACCAACTGAAAGTAAGAATTTGGGGGAAAAGAACAATGATGAAAGTTAAAAACTAAAAAACGGTGTGTGTGTGCTTATGGTCTGAACTGCAATGAAAGAGATTGTTTTTCAGTTTGATATTTTATCTACAACTACAAAATTTGATATTTGTGCCTGTTGAACCTTTATTGAATGAACTTGAAAAATGCTAAATGACAAAAAGCTTTATGGAAGAAGTGAATGATTATAACAAAGTTTTTAAATATTTTAAACTAAAGATGTATAGTGATGCCATAATTCTAAGATGCACAAAACACTTTTATTCTTACTTACTGACTTTGGTGGCTCTTAATCTCAGTGTCTAGTCACTTTCTATTTATAGAATTATAATTATTTGGAGGTACGGTGGAGTAATGGATAGCATCTTGGATTGAGGAATCAGAGAGCCAAATTTTAATTCCTGTCGAGTTTGTTACATTCACTTATGTACAAATACCCTTGGGAAAGGCATGAATCCACCACTTCTTCTCCCCAGCTATGGATAAATAGCAGGACAGACTTGGTCCTATAGGCTTGAGTAGCAACCAGTCTAGGAGAAGGACAATTCTAAATGCAAAACCTGAGTTGTTGAGTGGTCAGTGACTAAATTGGCTCCCCCACCAGACTCCATTGAGGAGGTTAAGTGGAACCCCAGTAGCATAAAAAAAACAAAAACCAAGAGCAGATGAATTCCTCAGGGTTGATGGTCATTCACCCAAACTATGAGTTAAATAACTTCATCAACCTGAAATTGGCCAAGCCTGGTGACTCATTCAGGGAGGGTTTTCTCCAACAGGAGTGAGAAGGCTCTGGTACACCCCTGAAGACATGGTCAATCAGGGAGAAGTTCTTCCAACAGGAGTGAGAAGGCCGTGGGTTTGGATTTGTAATTATTTGCAAATGCACAGTGGAATAATGGATAGCAGCTCGGATTGAGGAACCAGAGAGCCGATTTGGAATTCCAGTTGAATTAGTTACGTTCACTTACACACTAATACCCTTTGGAAAGGTATGAATTCTCTTCTTCTCCCCCCAGCTATGTGTAAATAGCCAGACAGACCGGGTTCTATAGCCTTGGATGGTAACTGGTCTACCACAGAAAGAAATGGTAACCTACTGTGGGGAAAAAATCTGCCTTGTCAGTCATGTATTGAAAGATACAGGATCGCCTAAGTGTATATCACGCATGACACATAACTGACTGAATTATCACTAAGCTTTATTATTAATAATCACTGGCATGCCACTGTGGTTAATAAGTTGAATGCAGACAGATTAAGTATTCTCTGCTATTTATTCCTTTTATTTTCTTAAAATTTAAGAAAATGATGCAATTATTAGCAGTTAATCAATCTGGAGTTACTTCCCTTAAAGAGACCTGTTTTTGTGTATGTGGAGTGAAAGTTGCTTTGTTCTATTCTAGTTATTGTATTTTAATGGTATTGCAGTAACAAAAAAACAATATAATTGCTATATTTCTCAGAAACATTCAGAAATTGGATCATTATATTATAGATTAAGTATACAGTTAATATAAAAAATTGAAAAGGTTGGCTGAAAAGTTCTTATTGTGATCACAAAATGTTTTAAAAAAATTCCAATGTTTGGTTGTTTTTCTATATTTTAGGAAGTAACCTGTACTGCTTGTACAGAACCTAACTTAATATTGTATTTTTTAGTACTAACTTTTTTCCATTTATTATTGTTGCCTTTTATCATACCACTTAAACTATTAAATGAAACAACTTCCACTGGGGAGAAGTAACAGTCATAAGATTTAGAAAAGGTAATAGTAGAATAAAAATCAATTAATTTCAAAAGTGGCTTAAGTATAAGTTAGGACCCACTTTTCAAAATCTGACCAAACATCAGAATTTGTTTTTGAAGCTGATTTTGGTTGTTCTGAGAACTTTTCAGCATCTCTTTGTAGTATTGTACAATTACCTTTTTATTTAATTATCTGTTTATGGATTAATAAAATTAAATATTTGTCACTTAGTTGATTGATGTTACCTTCAGCATCCCAACCACAAGTTTTGTAGATGGACCCTCCAGCAATCGCTTCATCCACTCGTCAGGGGATATATAGATAATACTTTAACCTATACTAGCTCTGTCTGGAAAATTATCAATTAGAGCATTATTAAGATTTTAAACCAGATCTGGGTAAGCAGGAGGAGCAGGAAAGTTTTTTTTTGTTTTTTTTTTAAATTTTTAAAGCATTTATTTTGGATAAACACCATGGACCTCATAAATATTTGATAATAGATAAATGTAGTAAATAAGTCAATGTTCGTTGTTTTTTCTAACAGATTTGACAATGGATTTTTTTGTCTCTCTTACTTTAAGGGTCAACTTCCATTGAGTGGACTGACTGTAAATAAAAGTGAGCTGGAAAATGTAGCACATGGCTTTGAAATTACAGGTGATAATTTAAATTCATTTAATTTCTCTTTTTTTCTTTCTATAAAGTTGATGTAGCAAAATCTTAATATCTTTTAAAGTGTACCTAAATGTTTTTTCAGTTGTTAACTTGGACAAGAAATGGCTTGTTAATTTTAATGTCTCCAAAACTAAACAGGTTTTTTTTAATTATCTTATAGAATTTTTTTAACTCTGACATTTATGTAGTGTATCCTGATTTTGTATGTTTTTAGAGAAGCACATGTTAAATCTAAATTCTCTCTTTTTATAAATTATGAAGGCTTTAATTATTAAAGATTAAATGAGTATTTTTTTTTTTTCATCTAGGAAATATGATTGACAAGATCACAGTGTCATGCAGTTCAAAGAATGATGCTAGTCATTGGTTACAGGTGTTGCGATCACAAATCAAGCAGACACAGATGGTTAGGTTAAAACCCCAAAGTTTACAGGTATGGCTTTTCAAATATGTTTCTTCTTTTAACTTGTCCTAGGGCTGAGATGAAGTAATTTCATTCTCTTTGATTTGAAGTTACTCTTCTGTTGAGCTAAGTGTCTCTTGTTTAAGACTTGCTATTATACACACACACACACAAGAAAGCATGCTGAAAATTTCTTGGTTCAAGCCACTTTCCAAAATCTGATCAAATGCTCAAACAGAATTTTATGGGAATAGAGTTTTTTGTTCGGGCCAAGAACTTTTCATTACTCCTTTATTTGTATGTAAATGATGAAAAACAACAACAAAAAAAAATCAATCATTTATTTTGCACAAGTATTCATTTTTTTTTTTAATATAATCTACCTTGTTAATGCACTTAATCAAATGCTTCTTCATTATGAACATACAGTGAAAATTTAAAATCCAAATTTACCTATATCAATTATGGATCTACTCTTATTCAAGTTAAATTTCAGCAATTTCTGTCTTTTGGGAACTTAAAGATTTTCTCTAATTTCTGTTAAGTATTTACAAGTATTTTTAGTATAAAAAAAAATATATATAAAATTCAAATGCTACTTTATTGGGGAAAGATTCCATTTGTTGAGTAAAAAATGAGAGAGATACTGCATGTTCAAATAAAAAGACAATATTTAACTTAATATACACAAATTCTTACCTGTAACTAATATCAAGAATTAAAAATTTGTATTTACAAAGTTCTTCTCGCTAACTGAAAAGGAAATGAACATAGTCTTTAGGTGAGGAAGAGGGGAGACAAGATTAAAGGGAATCCGGTGTTGCTTTGGTGAAAAAGACAGGATGATGAGGTTGACTCAGGTCTCTTTGTTGCTATTAGTCTTTCTACTGAGTTGAATGGATATCTGGTTTATATGGCTTTGTGTAGGCTCCAGAAGCCAATTTCAAACTGATTTTATTAGCTATTCTTTATTTTTATCAATTTGAAAATTTGAAATAAGTTACAAAATCAGAAGACTGCACAGATCTTTTGCATGGTGTGTTTATTTTTGTCATTTGATTTGAAATGATCAACTTCCACTTATTCTACAACTTCATTTGCATTGTAGCATATTTGAGAATAAATATTAAATTGATGCAAAAGTTCAAATTATTTTTTTTTTTTTTTTTTTTTTACCAAACTCTTCTCTTGATATAATGTAAAGCATTATTGTCAGCTATGAAAATATTTTGGCTGGTTTTTGTATGAGTGTAACACCATCTTTCATGTGAATTGTATGTATTCCATCAGAGTAAGATAATGATTTTGGTTTTAAGTCTGTGAATTCTTTGAGGATTTTTTTTTTTTGATATATTGAACTTTTTTGAACAGCTGACCAAAAGTGTGAAACAAGTGATAGCCTGAAGTTAACGAGTCTGTAGAATATTGCCACATATTGAAGAAGTTCCCATCACTTGCTGCACCATTTTTACACCATTGTGATGATGCGATTCTGCATGTCACTGCACAAACTGTAATGACATCGATGGTTGGCTGTATGTGAATACAGTGGCACTCACTATGTTCCACAGATTGGTCTTGATTATGGCCATGATTACTGTCAACCAAACAATAGCAACAAATGCTTTTCAAGATGCTTGTTGGATTGGGAAGTAGTAAAAACAATAAGATTTCTCACTTAGTCGGCATTGTCTTACTTTTGCTACAAGAAAGCAAACTTCTATCTGACTTCTCATTAAGTTCTGGCCATGGAAGATAAACCCTTACACACTCACTGTCCGATTCATTATATGGATACTGGCTGGAGGACCCATCCACTCGTATTCCACCAATATGTAAAGGGGACCACTCAGACAGGTTTTGGGGGATCAGTTTTTCAAAGGACCCTACTTTTATGGCTATCTAAAAAAACACTGATAAAACTTTGTTTGACATTTCAAAGGTGGGCTGGAGACAGGATTCCTGAACAGCCCTGGTCATTAAATTGACTTAAAAGAAGAAAGAAGCTATCTATTCATCTCCTAAGGATGTGTGAGAAATTGTATTGCTACAATATAAGGATGAGTGTTGTCATTTTGTTCAGAGAAAGATCTGTTTCAATGCATCATTCTGACAGGCCAACGGATAACTGTAGCATTGTACAGTAATAAATTATCTAGGTTCCAGCAATTTATGATGAAGTATTTCCTTTGAATCATTCTAAATGCAAAACTTTTTAGAAGATCCTGTTGAGGTTGGGATGTTTAATACTTTCCAATCTAGTTAAGAGTTGCTTTATTTTGGGTTATTGGATTAAATCCATATTTCATCATTATTGACTATTTGCTAAATTTGAGCTTTCATGCCTGCCAAAAAAAACGAAGTGCCAATAGGATGGTTTTTCCATTGACACTGCTATTATTGGTAATATTTGTTTTTAAAAAATTTATGGTTAGAATTCTAATAAAACATATGAAAGGGAATTTATACATTTTTTTGTTCTTGAGAATCTACAAGAAAAATAATAAGCACTTTATTGATGGCACACCATTTTTTGTGGGCATGGAGGTAAAAGTTTTCTGATTATTCTATTTCAAAATGCTCTTTTTGTGCCAAGATAGAAAACAAAGCATTTAAATACTGCACAACATTCATTTCCATAAATCAGTGGAGAACCTATTTTCCAGGCTGCTGTTTTTTTTTCTGAAGCTTGGAAGAGTTGTAGACGTATTGTGTAAAAAAAAAAAAAAAAAAAAAGCAGAGTTGAATAAACATTAAATAAAATTCTAAGTTTTCATAAACTATCTTAAAAAAAATTTTTATTTATTTATTTTTTTTTAATCATTTCGCTCCAAGCAAGGTGATAATGCCACCAGGACGCAGGGAGTGAAAGAGAATTAGAGGACTTTAGTAATGAGAAAGACAATAAAGGAGCAGCATTTAGGAAGACAGAAGTTGGTAATTGATGATGTATTCAATTTTTGAAGATTGTAGTTTGCAGGGAAGCAAAAAATTGGTAGGGATTTTTACAGGAGAAGTGTGAGAAAAGAAACTATTAGAATAGAACACATAGTCAGATCTTGCCAGTTCAACTGTAAAATTGTGAGGCCTAATTGCCAATCCTGGTAGCTCACTTAAATTTGTGCAGTTGAGGCACCAGGGAAAAAAAAAAATCTCATGAAAACAATTTCCATCAAAATATTTGTAGAAAATATATATATATATATATAAAGTAGAAAAGACAGCGAGAAGCCATGTCATATCTGTCGAATTACTGATGTTGAGATGCCAGGTCAGGATTGCTTATATTACAGACTCTTCTTTGAGCACCAGGCCAGATATGGCAACAGTATTCAATGCATTGTGAATAGTAGATTTATAAATGTGCAAGAACTTTTGCATCAATACTATAAATAGGTATCAGTTTTGGAAAAGATCATCATTATTCTCTTAACTGCTTCAATCATTGGGGGTTCCTAAGGAAAAAAAGAAACAAGACAACCTCCTCCAGGATTATCTGTTGGCAGTGACTGTTTGTTGTTCTGGCATTGTCATATCCATCCACTCTTTGATCTCTGACCAGCTCTTCCCTTGCTGTCCCAAATTGTGTCTGCCTTCAACAGTGCCTTGCATGATGATCCCTGCAGAGTCTGTTATGGTGTGTGACGTAGCTAAACCATGACATCTTCAGACATTTAATAGTAGCAAGGAAAGATTCCTGTTGTTAAATAATAATAGTCTATTATTTTTTATAGACTATTATTTTTTTTAGAGAATTATATTTCTCCTCTGATTTCTTCATTTTGACCTTTGAGGTCAGATACAGGAAAATAAAGGAAGTTGTTTTTGATTGGCTAAAACTAATGTGGGAATGTTAGAGATAGAAAGGGAATTCAGGCAGTTATGCTTTACATGTCATACAATATAGATGTTTTTTTTTTGTTGTGTCTCGGAACTTACTCCCCAGTAGGGGTGATAGAGCGACCCCACTGGCCAGTTAAAAATGTACACGTCTATGTGGTTAATAAAGTAGTAAGTTCCCTAGAAATCCCTCTTGTTGATGTCTTTTATCTCTGGACCCAAAAACATTTCGCTACCTGAATGAGAGAATATCCAACAATATGAGTGAATCGAATCTTGTCACCCCCAAGACCAATCCTAACCAAAAGCTCTATGCAAAATATACTCACTACTTACCTGGCTTATGTCAGAGGGTGTCTCCCAGACGAGGCTCTGCTGAAGGGCAGAGTCTTGTCTTGGGAAGCTGACTCTGTTTTTTACGTAGTCTATAGGGAATTTTTGCCTGAGCCTACGGGCTTGGATACCCCACTTTAAACTTGGCCTTGTGCCACATCTTGCTGTGTGGGGCAGCGGGTAAATAATTATACTCAAATTGGTGCAGTGACCAATAGAATCCCAGTAGAAGGGACTATACAACACTGTCAGCCTATGAGACATTTGATCTTGCTCCATACATAATGTCATGCTCCCAGTGGGAGATGTGAAGGAGCTTTATTTAGCATTTGTTCTAGAATGCCTGGGTCCTTTTCTCTGCTTCAACCAGATGTGTCCAAGTCTCACATCCATGGAGGAGAATGGATATGACTATTGATTTGTAGAGTTTGAACTTGGTCTGGGAGCCGATGTTGCTCTTCCATTTTTCTTTACAGTCTGGTTGTTTGTGTACGAAAGGTAGGATGTCTCAATAAATGTTGATGTGAGATTTTGCCAAATAAAAAACATTGTCTTGCAGCATGAAATACATTAACAAAGAAAGCAATTGTTGATAATTAAAATTTTTTGTATATTTATTTCAATTCATGTTGCATGGGAAGTAACTTTGATTTAATTCATTATTATTTCCCCTTAGAAAGAAATAATTTACTTGTCACTCTCTCTTTCTTGTGGAAAGACAACAGTAATAAACAAAGACTAATTTACTATTGAAAAGTATTATATAACCTAAGAATCAATTTAGAGAATCTTTCATTAATATAAGAATTATAAAAAAAAAAATCTAGATAAAAGACATAAAGAAAATATTGAATTTTTCTTTAATTTTGAAAAAAATTAGTTTTGTAAAATTTATATTTTAATTAAAACATTTTTGCATTGATCTAGAAATATTGCTTTAAAATCTTTGTTTCTATTGAACAAACAGTAAACATTTAATTATGAAAATATTTTGAAATTGTAATTATCAAAATTTGCTTCTGTAAGCAAAGATCTGATTAGCCATCATTACTGAGTAACTTCAGATTGTTTGTTTAGCAGTAAATCAACTTCTTATCGGTCATTTAATGTTGATGCTTAATTTTCTTGGCAGCAGTTGTAATTTCCCTTACAAAAATGTATTTTACAATTTTTTTTTTTTTTTCTTACAAAAAAGTACTCCTGGTAATTTTTTTATTATGAAAATGTATTGCTGGTAATTTTACTATAATTTTTTTTTTATACTTTCCTAATGTTTTGATCCCACCTTAACAGGTGCTACCACACCGGGTCAGTATGGACCTGGGAACAACAGCAATTAAGAGGTGGTTCCACACTCCTCAAAACCTGCTGGATGTAGTTTATCGTCATACCCAGGACGGAACTTTAAATTGAATTTTATGTTTTAGCATATTGCATTATCTAGTATTTTTTAAATACCATATCTCTTCTTGGAAAAGATAGTGGAGTGTTTCCATTTGCCTTGTTCATGTTTTTGAATTCAGAATAGTTGTTCTCCAAGACTGGATCCCAGCCAAGGCTACAGAGCCCATTCTATTCTGCTATTTAACCCATAGCAAAGGAGAGAAGAGATAGATTCATACCTTTCCCAAAGGTATTTGTGTGAAAGTGAATTCAACAGACTATAATTTGAACTTGACTTACCAATTCCACTTTCAGCACCAATCGCCATTATGCTACCTGCGTATCACTTATATTATTTTAAATGATTTTACCTTTATATGTTTTCAGATCTCATCTTCTCAACCTAGTATAAGTATGTTGTCACAAGCAAAGACGGCAAAAATGATGCAGTCTCCTTTACAAAACAAAATGTACAAAACCTGGAGCATGTCTTGTCTGCGTCCAGCTCCCCCCATGAGGCCTTCCGCATCAGAAAGAGATGCCTTAAAAAGTCCACGCTCGGGTAGGAAACCAGGCATGAGGCGAAAACCAGGTCAGCTTTCTTCTTATTTAAAGAATTTATTCTTTGTTTTCAATGTAACTTGACATACCTGGGGTAAGCATTTGCATGAATAAATGTTTCTTGATAGGCTTGCTTGCTTCTTTCTTTTTTTTTTTTCCTTCAATTTGGGTGAAGGGGGGAAAAATTAATTTAATAGGTATGCTATTTATATACCTCCCTTATTCTGATTAAGGGTTTAAAAACACAGATTATCTTTAGCTGTTGAAATATGTAAAACACAGTTTGCTATTTCTTTTTAATCCAGTCTTTAATTGCTGTCATGTTGAGATAATGAAATCGAGAAAAAAAATTTCTTATATGAAATATTTGAGTCTAAATAAGGAGTTTTTTGGAATTCCAATTCAATCTCTTTTGTTTTTAATATTTTACTTTTCTCACCTTTTTTTTTTCTTTTTTTTTTTGTCCACTGCCTCACTTTAGATATGAAACTTTTTTGTTAGGTTTCTAAAGCTCAATTCTCCCATGAATGCTGAGATTAAAAAGATCCCAACTCTACTTCATACTAATTTACACACTAAGAGCTCAATATCTGACTTATATATTATCTACTTCTAAGTGAAATCACTTTTCAGATTTAACTAATTTGCATATTAATTTTAAAATGGTATATTTCATTAATTAAGTGTCCTTCATTACTATTCTTTTATTCGAGGATTGTTTTGATTTTCATATCAAAAATAGTTCTGTTTCGGAATATTGTCTTATATAGTGCAGCAAAGTGTTTGAAATTTACTTGGTCTTCAACAAGTTGGCATCTATTTGTAAATCTTTTCTTAACCTTTGAACTCTGTGATCTTGAACAATTTTAACCCATCTGCCTGAGCTCCTGAGTCAAAATTTGCAAATTACCTCATTTTTCTTTACCACTGGTAAAGCAGTGGTCAGGGCTCAAAGGATTAACTATAACAAGCCTGCTCCAGCACCCGACCAATTATTTATTTCTGTCTTTACGGTCATATTCTTTGAATAAATATATTGAATGTCCACAATCCCTTCAACATTTCGTAAATAGTGAATATTAATCCCATAGAAAAACAACTAATTTTTCCTAGAAAAATTACCACATAGTGAGCGGGCAAAGCATTGCTAGTTTTATATAAGTTAGAAATAATTTACAATTGTTCTTTCTTTTATATATCATCTGTGTAACTGTATGGTTTATTTCTATATTAACTTTAAATTTAGTTTTTCTTTTTAATTTCTCTGCAGAGACAACATATTTTCTTTCTTCAAAACAATATATTGCCAAATTGCTCAGCTAATAATATTCTGAACTGGAAACAACTGACTCGGCTCTCACCTCTTGTTTTATGTTCTATGCTAGCCATTTAATTTTTTCTATTTTCATTTTCTCCAACTATTTTTGGGCATCATATTTGTTATAGCCCTGTTCACATGTTAGAATATATAATTCCATTCTCAGCTATCTCTCTTGGTCATTTTTTTTTTTTTTTTTTTAACCATTATTTCTCTTTTACTTTAAAATTTTTTTTCTCTGCTCAGTTTACTTTCCTTGTTTCTAAACCTGCACCTAAGCTGACTTAAGGCCACAATTAAATCTGTTTACAGATTTTTCACACTCTCATTGAATGATGATCCTTTTTATGATGACTATAAATTTGTTTTGTTCTTTTTTTCTTTTTTTTTTCCAAACAAAAACTCATTGTTTTTTTTCCTCTTCCGTGTTTTCCCTCCACAGAGCGATCACATTCAGAGGATGAATACGACTACAGGTGGAAACGATGTTAGTATGGCAAGACTCTATTAGTATTTGCCTGCTGTTTTTTTTTGTTTCTTTCTCCTTTTTTTTTTTGTCATGTTTCAAACTAGCCTTTCTTTCTCATCATTATCACTCTTATCATTATTACTCAATGTGATTTCTTGTCCCTTTTTTTTTTTCAACTGCTTGTTGCATGCTTTCTTGTTGCATTGTGACTTTTTTTTTTCATTGTTTTTATTTATACACCTTGACACCTCCACCTGGTTCACACATTTCTCTCTCTGTTTTCTCACCTGCCTTGTTGTATTTTTCTTGTGCACATGATGCACCCTGTACAATATTTTCAGGGCTATGATAATAGTTTAGGGGTTTTCTAAAACAGTTTTGATTTTGTTTCTTGAGGACAGATTGAACATAAGTAAAAACAAGGGAAACCCGAGCGATATACTTGATGGTTACTGGCAACTGATTAATATATAAAGATGAATATAGTTAAATATTTCAGTATATTTAATAGAAATATCCACATATATAAAACACAATGAGGATTTACATTATTCAGATTGTTATCTTCATCTTCATTGCCATATTCATAATGTTTCGGATGTTTACGCTCCGGCCTTATTTAGATGATTGGAATTTCCAATCAGCTTAAGAAGATGATAATAGTCCGAATAATGTAAATAATGTAAGTAATCATAATAACTTATACAGACAGATATTGAAAAAAAATTCCAATCACCTGAAGAAGGCTGGAGCATACAATGGCTGAAACATTGTGAATATAGCAATGAAGATGAGGATAACAGTCTGAATAATGTAAGTAATGTAAATAATCATAATACTTCATCTCAGATTATAGACACACAATGAGGAGATACATTTTTTTTTTTTTTTTTTAAATATGTTCGGTTGAATAATATCGACAAGTTCTATCTATTGGTCACTCTGAATATGCATCCTCTTGGACCAAACTTGAAACACATGTGGCGCTCAAAACCCTGGGTTCAGCCTAAAGAATGTTTGCCAACGGCCTGACAAAACATTTTTTGAGATAAGATTTTTTTGAGCTTCACACAAAATTTGAAGCAGGCATAGTGTTGAAATTTATCAGCTATTCTAAAGATTGGTAAGCTGTTCACAATGGAGTCCCAAGTGTACATTTGGCATTTTTTGGAACCTTTCCAAATGATATGTGCTTTATCTAGTCTCAGGATTCAGCACCAGTCTAACTTGGTCATAACAATATATATTTGTCAATTGATGACTGTTTGAAGTTAATCAATACTCAAAATATGTTTAATTGTTTGATTATAGCTGATCAATTCTGAATAGTTACTTTTTTTGCCTCTTTTTACTAGAAAAGTCACTGGAATCTTAATAGATTGATAAATGATAAATGACTTATATGAAGTGGATTTTGTGTCCCTACAAAATTTTAATGAAAATTAATAAAATTATTTGCAATATTTTGCAAGGTTTTGTTTTAGACATTGGATACTTTTTAGTCTCTAATGCTCAAGACAAAACCTTTTCTCTTTTTTAGTGTAAGTTCCCAAATATTAAAACATTTTAAATTTGCAAGATATTTAAGAAGATATTTAAAACATACTCAGTCCTTTTCATATTTGTCTTAAAGCCATATCATGTTGAAACACCAGTTTTTATATGATCACCAAAGTTAAGCAACATCTAGCCTGGTCAGTACCTAGATGAGTGACCACTTGGGAATATCAGATGCTGTAAGCTTGGATGTGTGGGTGGTGTAATAGATAAGGGTTCTGAATTGGAAATCAGAGAGCTGAGATCCAATTCCAGTTGGGTTTATTATATTCACTTACATGTAAATACCCTTCTCCTAACTATGGGTTAATTAGTAAGATTTTTATCAGTAAGTCTTTATTATCTCTAAAAATTCTTATCTAAAAATATTTTCTGGCTTTAAATAACTGGCAAAAGGTTGATAAGCCGTAAAAAGAAAATGAATAAAAATATTTTATATGTTAAATTGATCATTACCTTTTGGCACCAAGTACCAGTTTAATTATCAAAACATAATGGCCTGGGCTTGGATTTCTATTTTTTAGGGGTGCTGAATCCATTTTTTGGCATGGAAAAGTCCCCCCAAAGAAGACTCGGTCAGTTATGTGCCATATGTGATACATGACTGACAAGGCAGATTTTTTTCCCGCAGTAGGTTGCCATTTTTTTCTGCAGTAGACCACTTGCCATCCAAGGCTATAGAACCCCGTCTGTCCGATCTGTAAATACCCATTGCTGGGGGAGGGAGAAGAAGAGGGTATTAGCAAACAACTAGAAAGTCAATTAAAGATGAAGTCATATGTAAGATATTATAGTATTTGACAGTCAGTTATATGCCATGCATGATACACACTTAGGTATCTTTTGATACATGACTGACGAGGCAGATTTTTTTCTTGCACTAGGTTGCCATTTCTTTCTGCGGTAGACCAGTTATCATCCAAGGTTATAGAATCCGGTTTGTTGTGCTATTTACCCATAGCTGGGGAGAGAAGAAGATGATTCATACCTTTCCCAAGGGTATTAGTACGTAAGTGAATGGAATAGATTCAAATGGAATTCAAACTTCTCTTTTGGGGAATTTTGTCTCTTCATTGCAGACCAGCGTTTCGAGACCTTAATTCCTATTTTCTTAATTAGAAATGTGAAAGTTTTGTTTTAATGTTTCTCTTACGTACAAATAGCAGAAATACAGTTACATAATTGAGCTGAAGATGACAGCTGACAGCTCAAAATGCATGAATGTCTGCTTGGCTCTATTGTGCAAGCTGTTCCAAAAGAAAGCCTTGTAAAAATTAAACACAAGTAGATAACACAAAGTCTATTGGTAGGCTGAGTACCAAAGAGTATTAGTGGCACACACGCATTTCTACTGAATGGTACAAACACAGCACAGTCTGGGAACTTTCTGATACCATTTTGTGTGTTTCGGTGAAAATAACAGACAAGGAATATCTTCAATATCTGTCTATATTTCTGAGATGAGGTATTATGTACATTATTTACATTATTTGGACTATTGTCCTCATCTTTGTTGCCATATTTATTACAATGTTTCGGCCGTTGTGTGCTCCGGCCTTCTTCAGGTGGTTGGAAGGTCGACTTAACCCTTTATTTCGCTCACTGGGGTAGACTGCTATAGTTCCATGTGCCATGTTTAATGGATGTCAGTTATCAGTTATCTCCTGTTAATTTTCTCTCTGAAAGTTCTCCACTGCCTTAGCTGGGTATTGAACTCACACTCTTTGGGTCCTCAAGGACACATGGCACAGTGGATAAAGTCATTGGTTAGATCCAGTGACAGAACCCAAAGAGGTGAGTTCAATACCCCCTTAGAGAGTTCAATAACTGACATCCATTAAACATGGCACATGGAACAGAACAGTCCCACCCCAGTGAGTGAAATAAAGGGTCAGTTTGACATTCCAACCACCTGAAGAAGGCAGGAGCATACAACGGCCGAGACCTTGTAATAAATATGGCGACAAAGATGAGAACAATAGTCTGAATAATGTAAATAATAAGGAATATCTTGCAAGCTTTTTATTCAAGTTTTCTTGAGTCCTTATCATTTTTTCTTTTTTGAAGGATAAGTGTGTGGAGAGTACAAGAAAAACTTAAATAAAAAATATTCTTCTATGCCATATTCAATGAAGCATACATAAAAGTGTTTAATATTTTTGTTGCAAATTCTCAAGAACAAAAAAAAAAAATTGTATAAATTCCCTTTCATATGTTGAGTTTTTATTCCAATTCTAATCATCAATTTTCAAAACGATAAACATTGCTTAAGAGTGAAGGTAGTTAAAATAAAAGCAGTGTCATTGGAAAAACCATCTTTTTGACACTTTGTCTTATTGCACACACAAAGCTCCATATTTGCTCATATTTGTTTCATGTCCATTTTGTGACCAAGAATGAAAAATTATTTTCCCTTATTTATTATCTATATGAATAAATGCGAAATTAGAGCTCAATTCTCCCTCAAATTCTGAGGTTAAAAAGTCCCAAATCTACTTTATAGTAATTTGAGATTTATTCTGAACAATACAGAATTGTGGCACAAGGCTGAGGGAGAAATAGAGAGGGGCTGGTCTTCACTAGCTATCCTAGTCCTAGTTAATCTGACTCACAACCCATTCATTCAATACAATTTACTCATACAAGAACACATCCATCACCACTCAATCCTGCATATATCACATATTAATATACAGAATTTACATGGTATTTACTCTATCTCCCCACTAGGATGAGATGTGACACAAGGTCTATTTGTAGGTGGAGACCCGAGTGCGTACACCTGGGACAGGAACAAAAATTTCCCTCAGCCCCACAACCACAGGTTGCGCTGACCTTGGTGTGAGCACCGATCCCTCTGGTGCAATGGGAGGGTGCAGCCTCAGGCAGCTGTTCCCCAGGGCTGCGCACCGCTTCAGTATTATTTTCTTCAGTTGCCCCTCTGTGCTCTGACAGAGAAGCCCCTGAGTGCACTCTGTCCAAAACCAGAAACACAACTGAGGTATAAGTAGACGCGACCTTACTCAAAAAGAGTAGATATTTACTCAACCCCCCATGAGGTCAGGTTGTGACACAAGGTCGGTTTAATGTGGGGAGCCTGATCGCATGCACCCGGGCAAGGAACAAAAATTCTCCAAGCCCCTGCAATCGTTGGTTGCGCTGGCCTCGGTGCAATGGGAGGGTGTGGCCTCAGGCAGCTATTCTCCAGGGCTGGGCACCTCTTCAGTATAATTTTCCTCAGTTGTAAGTTTGTCCTTTGATGGAGTCGCCCTGAGTGCACTCTGTCCAAGGACAAAGATGCAACTAAAAGATGATAAGTAGACATGACTTTATTCAAAAAGAGTAAGCAACACACAGAATTTACACACTAAAAGCTCAGTATCTGTGTATATATGATCTACTTCTAGACGAGATCACTTTTTAGGTTTAACTAATTTGAATATTGATTTTAAAACATATATTTCATTAACTAACTGTCCTTCATTACTATTCTTTTATTCAAGAATTGTTTTGATTTTCATATCAAAAATACTTCTGTTTAGGAATATATATATAATGCAGCAAAGTGTTTGAAATTCACATTTTACTTGGTCTTCAACAAGTTGGCACCTATAATTTCTAAAACTTTCCTTGACTATAACAAGCCTGTCCCCACACCGACCAATTAATTTCTTTTGTCTTACAGTCATATTCTTTGAACAAATATATTGAACGTCCACAACCCCTTCAACATTTCATAAACAGTAAACATTAATCCCATAGAAAAACAACTAATTTTTCCTAGAAAAATGACCACATATCGAGCGGACAAAGCCTGTTAGTTTTTAATATTTGTCATTTGTAATTTTGGAAATGTTATTTTTAATCTTTAAAGTATAATGTATAATCATTGTTTGTGATATGATTTAAACAAAAGAAAAAAAAACATGTTCTTTCTCTCTCTCTCTCTGGTCTATCTTCATTCCCTTTCTGGGCTTGTTTCATTTCACCCTACTTCCCACCCCCAAACACACATACACACACCCACACACCAAGAGGGTGGTGTTCTCTCGGGATTATTCTTTTGTTGAAAAAAAAAAAAAAAAACTTGCTTTCTGTATTTATTTTTCTTTTGTGACATTAAACTCAATTTGAAATTGCTCTTTCTTCTTCTCAACATTTGAATGGATTTTAATTTATTGCTTTGTTCAGGTTTCAAGATTAAATGCTTTTTATAAATTTAGTAAATGTCTTGGGGTTTTGCACAATGATTTTTATCTCAACACTACAGTCAAGTTTCTCTTGGCAAACTGTAGTTGAACAAATTTATATTTGCAAAATTCTCAGTTTTATTAGAATTGATTAAAAAGTAAAAAAGAATAGAAATAAAATAAATTTCAATATGTACCTTGCATTATTATTCAGATAATCTCAATAGAAGTGATATGATAGTTAATCTCTCTCTTTCTACCTCTCTCTCTCACACACACACACAGTGTCATCATAGGAAATCAATACTACATACCGACTGACAGTTTCATGCCTGTCACCATGTAGTGTTGATTCCAATGTCCACCTTGACTATCTCTATTTCCAATATTGAATACTGTTTGGTTTATAGATATTGCAAATACCATGTTAACATGTTCCATCTATCTGGGTTTTAGAAATTAGATTTTTCCTTCTCCTAGATTGGTTGCCAATCAAAGCTGAAAAGTCCTACAATTTACCCCTCGGTTTCAGGAGGAGAGATGGATTTCTATCTTTCCTAAGGGTATTTGCATGAAAGTAAATGTAACAAATTCAACTGGAATTTGAACTTGGCTTGTTAATTTCTTATTCCAAGCTGCTGAACATTACACCACCTGCATGTGCACACATACACACACACACACACACACACACACATATATATATATATATATATATCAAGATAGATTATGAGGACAGCAGCTTTTGCTTCAGCAAGAAAAGACACTTATAGGACAGTGGTTTATTCAAGTGCTCACCCATTCTATAGATTGTGGCATGCCAGTGATGAGTTATATTGTTAGGATATTTGGTGCAGGGAGAAGTGGATTTATATATTTGCCAAGTCTACTATGAGCATAAATATCCTTGATATAAAATTTAAGCCACTTCATGATAATCTGTGGTCTATTTGGCTTTTTAATGGCACACCTAATTTAACAAGGAAAATAGCAT